AATTAATGCTCAACTATTGGGGGAAGCATTAAAATGAAATTTCCCTCAACTATTAGTGCATACATAAATCAAAACCCACTTTTGTAAATATCAATGCGATACAAATGAACATGATGAGAAAAATGCTGATTTGGCAATGACACGGCGGCGTTTTGATAAATGCCTATCATGAAACGTCAATGGAACAAAACACATGCTAATAAATTGCTGTTTTTTTTTTTGCAAAAAAAAAAAGCCAATGTGACATTTTTTTACCAAACATATCTTATAGGTTGTTTATGAACCCCACACATGGATAGCAGAATTTGGCAATTGGGTTGGGTTGGGTTGGATCAAGACACTTAGGGTTGATTTCGGGTTGGGTTGTCAAATTCTACAACCTAACCCTAAATATTTGGGTTAGGGTTGACCCATGGGTCAATTTGGGTCATCCCAAAAAATAACTGAAATAAAAAAAACTACATGAAAAATGCCAAAATTAAAAGAATTAACTTTAAAATTCAAAATATAAAATAAAAAAACTTGAACACTTAACAATTTAAAGAGTAAACAATAAAGAGTAAAGACTAAATAAAAAAAAAATTAAAGAGTGGAAACTTCTAACAATGCATAAATAGTCTTAATTAAACTTGACAATCGGATCAACAGATTGACCCCTGACCCAACCCAATTTTTTCTAGGTCAGGTAGGATCGGGTTCGCGGATTGAATCACCTTTTTGACCAAATGTATACTCTCTTATGCACACTCTCGACTCTTACTTAACGTAACTTCGGCTATCCTACAACCCTCGGCTAACTTGACTATCAGAGTTTTCACTTTGGGACCACAACCCCAGGCCTTTGACATCTTTTGATCCATTTGGCAGCAACAATTTATATTAGAGCTAGCATCTTGTGATAATTCCATTTAAAATGATAGAATTTGATCAATTAATTGCAGCAAAAGATGATGCAAGTGGTTTCATTTTTCATGTTTCCAATGGGCCCCTCAAATGGACAGTTTTATCCAATTCATCCAATTTTAGGGTTTTTTTCCATCACCCAGATGGAGACTCAGAATGTGAGGTTCACGTTTCATCCCGGTCTGAAATTTGTACTCCTGTACCATAGCCAAATTATTTATTGGACATTGGTGAACCATGTGAATGAAATTATTTCATTTTGTTTTTTTCAATAGGATTTAAATGTATAAACATCACAAGAGCATCAACAAAAGTGGATTTAGGTCGGTTTTAGTTTTGGTTTTCAAAAAAAAAAAAAAAAAAAATTTGTTGACATTCTGTAATATTAGATGATATGCATTCAAATGTTATGAAGAATTAAAATTAAATGAATTTATTTTGTATCCTCCAAATTCCCTTCTAAGGGTTTTAAAGCTATAGCCATTGTTCATCAAGTTCATCCACTAGGGTTATGTGTCAAACCCTTATATGAGCCCAAAACTTTGGTTTCCAGGAAAGTAGATGGAAATTATTATTGCCACACAATCTCTGGACGAGAAAACAAAGAGGTGGAGGCATAGTCATTTTCATACCCAAAAGTTGTATCAAGGATGAAATACATCTCCATGTAGAATTTAATTTATCTTTATGTATTTAAATTTCTTTGATTTATAGTTCAAAACCCTTTAATCAGCTTTAATTATTCTAATTTTAATGGAAACAAGTGCATTGCCCTAAATAAACATTTGCTTTCAAGCTTGGGGTTGTGAAAAATAAAATTGAGCCAAATGAATGTTTTGAGCATTTTGTAAGAATTTCTTGTAAAAACATTATAATCTCAAGCAAAAACTCTTTTAAGCTCCAAAGCACAATAAAGCCTAAAACTAAGGCTTTGCATCTCCCATACTTGCATTGCATGTTATCATTCATGGGGAGATGTGAGTACTGTGAGGAGCAAATCTGAATTCTGTTATTTAGGAGGTTGCAATTTGTGAGTTCTTTTTCGCTGAAGATGACGTTGGATTGATTACTAAATCCTTGAATATTTTATTATGTAGTTACTATATCGAAGGCAAAGCAGTAGAGTCCGAATCTCCTGTCCACACAAACTCTGTTCATGTCTACCCACATGACATCACAGTCACATATGGAGAACATTTCATCCTCCTACATATTATTATGTAGGGGAAGATGTTTCCAATTCATGGGGGTAGTGTGTTGTGAGTAGACGTGAACAGAATTCTTATAGGCAGAAGATCCAAAGTCAAAGCAGTGAACCAATTCAGTTAAGTCATTCAGCTGTTATCAAACGGCCAATTGATCTCTATTGGTCCTTTGGGGAATGGGCAACTGTTTTGTCTGTGGTCCCAAGTCCTAACAACATCAAGCCAAAACTGTTCTTTTATATTCTTGTTGTTAACATAATATGCATAGCAGAAGAACAAAAAAAAAAAAAACTTGGGGGATTTTTTGGCTGGAAGAATTGAATTGTCAATTCAGATTCTGATTGTCAAAAACGTGTGATTCAAGCTACGTCCTCTCTGTATTTTTTTTTTATATTCTTTTTGAACAATAATTAATAAAATTTTAAGACGACTGTTTCTCTACTTGGAGTAAATTTGAAATTAAAAAAAAAAAACAAAAAACTCAATTGGTAAGACTAATTTCTTTAAAAATTAGTAAAGAAATAAAGTAGCATTTTTCGCGAAGAAATAAGTGATTCCCCCAAACCTTTCTTAAAATCACTGACTATAAATTTTATAATTCAATTCGTTCAATCAAACGCCCACTTGGATAATCCATTAATGGAAATGTTCTCTGAAAAATCTCAAAAATAATTGATTCTTAATAAAATAAATTTGACAACTTAATTCCTTTGACCAAACTATCTTTATGATAAATCTATCGAAAACAAAAAAACATATAAACACACTGAGAACATAACATCTAACCACACATCAGATCCAACCCCCTTCATAGACTACTTTAATCTACCTTAAATATCTCCTGAAGCATTTCCTTCCCAAAGATGGGAGAGTGTTAGATACAATGTAACCTCATTTTTATTTTTTTCTTTTTTTGATAATTAACCAAATTTACCTCATTGATATGACACACCCCCACACGTTATACCAACTATTATCCAGTTTTGTCTTAGTCATAGCACGTCATTTGCTTCTTCCTCTTTTCTTCTTCTTCTTTGCCGTTAACTCACTACTCATTCCTTCAATAAGCCCAATTTCCATATTTAAAAGAGAATATTTGACAAGTAACCATTAAAGCATTATTCCATTTAATAGAAATCATAGATACATTTGGCGACGTCTTATTGGTTCATCTAATCAGTATGTATGCATTGAAAGAAACCCTAAATTATTTTTTCAGGCAAAGCATACAAACCCTAAAATTATTGTGTTATTGGGAATACAAAACACTGTAATATGATACACATGTGCCCCCCNATGGCATGTACATGTGTCCTCATGAGTGTAGTAGAGCATTCACTGTGCAATTCTGGGTGATTTAGGGCATTTATTAATTATATATCTACCTTTTTGTGAAATGACAAAATTGGGTCATTATATTATATTATCAAGCCATCTCTAACATTGTTGAAATAGCCACTAAGGGTATTAATGTATTTGTACATTGTACTTTGTACTTTGTAATGGGGCAATAAATGGAATATTACATTTTCCACGTGGAATGTCATCATCTTCTTCATTTTTGCCACTCTTTAGGGCTCACTTGAGAGGGTTGAACCGAATATTCAATTAAGCCGACTCAGTTGTTTAAAATGCTCCAAATAAGTTATTTAAAGACAGGCTGAAGGCCTGAAGCAGATAGCCCTTCTGTAACTTTACTCTAGGTGAATTTGAACTCTTTGAGTTTTTCGCTAAACATATTCATGTGGGGCTTACTTCAACAAGCATCGCCCAACTGGATCTATAAAAGTTAGGAAATTGTCTAAAACTCACTATGACTTTTTATCATTTTTCTTAAACTCATCCTAACTTTTCAAAACGTAACCCTATATTAATGACTTATTGTTTTTCAAATCTCACTATTGGTTAAAACACCAAAACCATTAGTATTCATTGACAGAAGTTGTCGATATCAGCATAAATACAATTTTTATAACCAGACTGCCCTGAATGAAATGCCAATCTAATTTTTATTCAATACACCTTTGTTCTAACTGACATCTGATAGAAGTGGATGATTGGGTCCTATAGAGCCACGTGTGCTCTTCTTGACCATAGATCTTTTCTTGATCTTGGTTCTTGTTGCATTTGTAAATAAAAGGGATAAAGTTAAATTTGTGTTGTACAAGTAGATATAGAACATCAAATGAGTTTGATTTGAATCAAAAGCATTTTTTTTTATTTGAAATATATTTTCGTTGTTTTTTTAACAAAGTTTTGATTTATTTTCCAATGTACAACGGAATAAAAGGTATAATATACCAACATCCGTTAGCTTATTTAATGTCATAAAAATTTAGACAAATTCTCATAAAAATTTAACATTTTCAGAATTCAATATTTGATTTTTTTTGTTTAATTTGTTGCTTATTAGATTGATACACTATCCATCCATAGCTAAAGGGGTTAATCAGAAAATTATTGTTATTTTCAAATTAGAAATCAACCCCTAAATAGAGAAAATCCTCATTAAGCCAGGTACCTGAAGATTCATCCCTCAAGTTTCATTCAGTTAACAGTTAGTTGAAAGGTGCATGGAGAGTAAAAAGAAAAAAAAATGGACAGGCAAGGGCATTTTTGTAAAATCATAACGATCGGAATATTACTTGGAATCCGAGATTGATTCATTTAATATACAATAATACTCCTCAATTATTAGTTTTAATTGTTAAATTAAGAAGAAACAAAAAAAATAGAGAAAATGAATTTTGATTTGTCTTTTTTTTTTTTTTTCTTTTTTGGGATTTTGATAGCCAATAAATCATCGCAATATGTTGTAAAGTTTGACAGAAAAAGCAAAAATAATCTTTTTCGGATGTTTTTTTTTTCATTGCTTAAGCATTTTTTTCTCTCAATTTATTATTTTTTCAGGCTCCCTGTCTCTCTTCTTACAGTCCCGAGTCCTGTGTTCTGACTCCTGTGTGACTTTGTCCTCATTATACCAGAAACCAAAACCGTAAACAGAAAGGAAAGATAACCGTCTCTCTCTCTCTCTCTGAAGGTGGAGCTAGTCACTGATAATGGCTGGAAACGACTGGATTAATAGTTATCTTGAAGCGATCCTCGATGTAGGTCCTGGTATCGACGAGGCAAAATCGTCGTTGCTGTTGAGGGAGAGAGGGAGATTTAGTCCCACTCGCTACTTCGTTGAAGAAGTGATCACTGGGTTCGATGAAACTGATCTCCATCGCTCGTGGGTTCGGGTATGCAGACGGGCTTAATTTTTATTTCTATTTTTCTGATCTTGAATTGGAGTAGTTTGGATGAACTATACTTTTCTTTTTTTCTTTTTTTATTTTTTCCATTTTATGTAGGCTGCGGCCACGAGGAGCCCGCAGGAGAGGAATACGAGATTGGAGAACATGTGTTGGAGGATATGGAATTTGGCTAGGAAGAAGAAGCAGGTCTTTTGATGTTCTTTTTTCATCGTTAGATTATGTTTTCCTTTAATGCCTACCGTAGTTTGGTTAACTGTAAACTATTGCTTACTACTATAGTAATTGTTAAAAGCATTTGCGGCCGATGGAATGTTTATAATGAGTATTCTGTATATTGATTGGATTTAATGGACTCGCAGAGTTTGAAGTTATCCAGAAGTGGGTTTGCTTCACATTGTTCTGTAATCTGTTCTTAGAATGTTGCATGCATGGACAAGCTTGTTGTTCGTAAAATGGGTGATCTCAATTTTGGATTATTTTTGTTGTCGGGCAATTTCCTTTGTGTTCCATCCCTGTGATTTCTTATGGGTGAATTTGATTAAATAGATAAGTGTTAATTAACTGATAGTGTAAGAGTTATGTCGTGAAAAAAAATCTATGTCAATATCAGAGTAAGAGTTATATCGTGAAAATCTGTCAATCAAGTTGGTTGATGGTTGATCTGATCTTCATCCATGGAACAAGGCTTTTATTTATTTATTTATTATTTTTTTTGTAAAGCATACAACATAGGCATCTCATTCTGTCTATATGTCTTATTTATTGGTTTGTTTTTGTTGTTGAATAACTGAAATGATAAAACTGCAATACAAATTTATTTTATTTTATATTGATGAGTTACTCATATCTTTTGGGATATAAGCGAAACAAATATATTTCAACCAACAAGTACGCAGTTAAAGTAACTGCATTTATAATATCAATTATTGCAAAATTAAGTGGTTCAGACTTGGGGATGGCAATTTCAACAATAAGATTGAGTGGTAGAATGAGGTGTCATGCAAATAGAAATGGCTTTTGGATCCTGCAGGGAATTACTGAATCTGTATTTTTCCTATATCCTAATATCTTTAGTCATTTTGCACCCATCACATTATATTTTATCCTAAAAAGGAGGTAACCTACTACCCTGCATGATAAACTATGAATGCTGTTGCAAATGTCTTTACTCTCTCTCTCTCTCTCTCATGAGAATAGATGACCAGGTCATAATGCATGTAAAAAATGAGTGTATGTAAGAGGATGGGTGTCTGGTGCTGCACAAAATACAAAAAGACAGCTTCAAATGATATAAAGGAAACTACTTGGGCAAGGAACTATCAAACTACAAAACCCTTCCCAACCTGGTTGAATTAACATGCCTACAATTGGGTTCATACTTGTTGGGGTATATCTTATTTGAACATTTCTATCAGCCAAAATTTCTCTAATCTTGTTGAGGTAGTGACCCGATCACTAAAGCGCTCTTCTTATAGATTGGCATCTTTCTTGCTAATATCTTGTAATAATTTAGGATGACTTAAAAGAATTCAACTATGAAAAACCATTTAATAGGATCTATCTGTAAAAGGCATAATAATCTTCTGATCACATTTGGAACTTTGTTTGACATTAGTAACAATGTTTTGTGATCCTATTCATCATTGCAGTGGGGGGGGGGGGGAGATTCATTGAAGATCTAGATTATGTGAGGAATGCTTGCAGAAAAACAGAGAGCGTAGGGAAATGTATGAAGACAATAGAATGCAGACTTGCAGAGGGATCCTTATAAATTCTTCAAAACAGAAACCACTTAAAGAGAACAAGACAAAATTCCTCTAGCAAAACTAAGCACAGATATACCCATCCTGCAGTAGATGTATGACATGTATGATTTACCCATGACAACTATATATTTCTATGTTGTAACCTTTTTGCTCCTATTTAATTTTTTGCCAATTATAATGTGTTCTTCAAAATTTCTTCTTTGGAGATCTAAATATAGTCTTCTTCTTCAGAAATCAGCTATGGTTTACTTCTGATGTCCTAAATGAAAGTTAAATGCTGTGGGACCTTTTATTTACATTTACAACTTCATTAGTGTCTGCAAAGGACTAGTGCATGACATAGTACAACCCTGTTTTCTGGTTCATATTCCAGAATAGAAAACTAGTTCTATTATTATCTTTCAGTGGCAAACAATTCCATTGCCCACTGCAGATTGAAGGAGAGGAGGCTCAACGTATGGCTAAACGTCGTCTTGAGCGGGAAAGAGGACGCAGAGAAGCAACTGCAGATATGTCAGAGGATTTATCAGAAGGAGAGAAAGGAGATGTTGTTGGTGACATTTCAGCTCATGGTGATAGTAACAGAGGCAGACTGCCTAGAATCAGTTCTGTTGATGCAATGGAGAGCTGGGTTAGTCAGCAAAAGGATAAAAAGCTGTATATTGTGTTAATAAGGTATTACCTTAACTTTTTGCTCTAAACTTTTCAATGTGTTTAGGTACGGGCGTATAAGGTGTTCTTGATGTCATATGTTAGGCAGTAAAGAATGTGATGGAAATATAACACCTATTTTAAACTTTCATGTAGTATTGTCAAAATCTTACGAGATACGATTCACGATTTGAATCATGAATCCCAAGGGTTTCGATTTGAATCTTATGTCTTTTTTTTTTTTTGCAAAAATATTATGTTTTTTGTTTGAATCCTACAATTTGATTCATACATCTTACAATTTATACGATTCTTGCAATTTACTATGATTCAAATAAATTCAATTAAGAATTTTTGTCTTTTTTGCTTATATTCAATTTTGTCAAGAGAAACTCATTTTAAAGCCCTTACTAGAAAATGATTTATTTATGTCAAGAGAAACTCGTTTTAAGGAAAGAGGAGATCAACTGGAGACAAAAATCTAGATGCAAGTGGCTCAAGGAAGGGGATAGCAACACCAATTTCTTTCATTTGTTGGCCAATGGTGGAAGAAGGAAGAATGCTGTCTTGAAGTTGGAATGGAATGGGCAGATTTTAACAAGGTATGAGGAGATAGCACAAGCTTTTGTAAACCACATTAAGACACTTTATGATTGTCCAAGAAGTTCAAGAGAAAGTTTAGAGGACTTGGAGTGGAGGTTAGGAAATGGAGAGTTGTTGGACAATTTGGAAAGAAATTTTGAGGAAGTAGAAGTGAAACATGCAATTTTCTCAATGGGTCAATCTAAAGCCCTAGGGCCTGATGGTTGTACGATGACATTCTATCAAGATTGTTGGGAGATTATAAGAGTTGATTTAATGGAGGTTTTGGAAGAATTCTTTGAGAGTGGCAAATTCAATTCGAGAGCAAATGCAACTTTCATTGCCTTAATACCAAAAAAAGTGGTAGTACAACCAAAGGATTTCAGACCTATAAGCTTGGTGGGTAGCATGTACAAGATTATCTCCAAGGTATTGGCCTTAAGAATAAAAAACATCCTTCACTAGTTTTTCCAAATCAAGGGGCTTTTATATTTGGGAGACAAATAATGGATCAAATTCTCATTGCAAACGAATGTGTGGAGTTTAGGAAAAGGAAGAAGGAAAAGGGGTTGGTGTGCAAGTTGGACTTAGAAAAGGCTTATGATCTGGTTGATTGGGATTTCCTCCTAGAGGTCCTCACTTGTAGGGGTTTTGGCGAAAGATGGTGTAGATGGGTAAAGGGATGTATTTCTTCATGTCCCTTCTTCATTTTGGTGAATGGAGTAGCTAGGGATTTTTTCCAGCTAAAAGGGGTCTTAAACAAGGAGATCCTTTCTCCCCTTTCCTCTTTACTTTAGTGGCTGATGTACCAAGTGAGATGATTTTAAGGGCAGATGCTAACTTGATTAAAGGTTGGAGAATTGGGAAGGAGGAAGTGCTGGTTACACATCTACAGTTTGCAAATGATATCATATTGTTTTGTGAAGGGGAAGAAGAAGAGCTTTTGAACCTAAAGAGGCTAGTGAACCGGTTCGAAAGAGTTTTTAATCTCTTAAAGTAAATTGGGGAAGAAGCTGTGTTGCAGGAGTACATGTAGAGAGAGAAGAGATGGAATTGTTAGCTAGGCTCTTGGGGTGAGAAGTAGGAGAGTGGCCGCTACACTATTTGGGAGTATTGTTGAGAGGAAACCCAAACACAAAGTTTTTAGTACCCAATGATTGAAAGATTCACTAAGAGAGTTGCAAATCGGAAGAGAAATTACATTTCATTGGGCGGTAGGATAACCCTAATTAAGTCAACTTTGGTCAACCTACCAGTGTACTTTATGTCCACCTTCAAAGTACCAGGAGATACCAAGAAGTGAATGAGAGATAGGAGATACCAAGAAGGATCACGTAGAGAAGTGGGAGGTGGTTTCTAGAAGTAAGGATGATGGCGGCCTAGGAATAGGAAACATTAGATTTAAGGAATAAAGTGCTATTGGGGAAATGGGTGTGGAGGTTGCTGCTGGAACAAGATAGACTTTGGCATAGAGTGGTTGTCAGCATACATGGAATGGCAAACAATGGTTAGGATGCAGTACCCTAGGGCCTCTCGATGTTCTCCTTGGAAAGCTGTTCATGAACTCCTGCCTTCTATCCTTCCTTTCTTCAAATTTGATGCTTGTGCAAGGAATAAAGTGCTGTTTTGGGAAGACACTTGGGTCAATGAGTTTTCACTTAGAGATAGGTTCCCTACCCTTTACTCCCTTTTAGGCAACAAAGAAAAAGTAATCTCTTCCATTTTCATTAATAATTTGTGGGATTTGGGATTGAGGAGAGGGTTAGCATAGTTGTCAAGGCGACACCTAGGCGACAAGGCGCCCTTTGAAGCTCACCAAGCATTTTTCTACTTCCTACTATAAAATATTTTTTTATTCATTCTTTTTTGAGATTATAATTATAAAATACTTCCTACTACTACTACTACTACTACTTCTACTACCAATACTTTTTATTTTCTTCTTTTCCTATAACAAAAATAAGGGTTCAGCCCCTATATTTTTTGAATTTTATTTTTCTTCTTCCTTTTCTTCTCATGAATATGTTGATTTTCTATACTTTAATATGAAATTTATACTTTTCTTATGAAAATCATGAATAATTATTAAAGAAATATGGTTATGGTACCTAGGGAACTACCCTAGGATCTATGTTTTTAACATAAAAAAAAACCATCGCCTAAGCGATTAGGCAACAAGGCGCCCCCTAGATGCCTAGTCTCGCCTTGGCGCCTTGAAAACTATGGAGAGTCAGAAATGGAGATGGTGGATGGACTTGTTGCTCTCAAACCCTCCTCCTCTGGTGTCTTCACTTGTGCTTCGTTTTATAATGTCCTTCTTTAGTCCTCTAACCTTGCTGGGAATTTTCCAACAAAGGAAGTTTGGTGTAGTCCTGTACCTCCAAAAATCCGGGCTTTTTGTTGGGAGGTTGCACTCCAAAAAATCAATACACTGGAGTTGTTGCAAAGAAGAGGCCATACTTTTGCCTTTCACCCCATGTTTGTATCCTCTGCTTGGGTTTTGGTGAGACAACCACTCACCTTTTAATATCTTGTCCATTTATGTCTTTTATTTGGTCTTGCTTCTCTTCTCTCTTTGGTTGCAGGTAGAGCCCTCCCCCAGATGTGGTAAGCCTTTTTGACCCAAACTTTTATAGGCAACCAAAGAAGAGGGGTAGAATCATGTGGAGAGCTACAAGAACAGCTGTTCTTTGGTCATTTTGGGAAGAAGAAGTAATAGGATCCTTAAGAATACTAAAAGACACAAGGAGGAAATTGTAGAGGGAATAACTATTAAGGTTATTCACTGGTTGAAAACAAGTGAGCTGTTTAAGGAATTTTCAGCTGATGACATTTACAAAAGATGGGGTGAGGTGGCAGGTACTAAATCCCTAAAGCCTATGGTACAAGAAATGTGGGCCCCACCAACTTCCCAAAGCACAAAGTTGAATTGGGGAAGGCAGAATTATTGCCATGTATTTGGGGCCAATAGGAGGAGATTCGTTAAGAGCAAAGGTGATGGCTTTACTTCAAGGTGTAAGATATGCCAAACATTTGGGACTACATCAAATGGAGATTGAAGGGGACTCTAAGCTCTTAATGTGGTGGATGCAGTCAGGTTGTCTGGGAGCATGGAAATATAGACATATGATAAGGGAAATAATGAATATAACGAGGGAGATAGGTGTGTGCTTTAAGTGGACAAGAAGGTTAGCTAACGGACTAGCAAACACCTTAGAAAAACAAGGGACTGTAAGAGAGAATGTGTTTTGGGCAGTTCTGTAATGAGTATGTAACTTGGGTCAACTTCTTCTTAGGAGTTGACAGATGTACCTTGTCATGGTTTTAAATTTTAATGAAATTACCGTTTCCAATAAAAAATAAATAAATAAATAAAAATAATTTTATGATTTACAATGTGATTCACGATTCGGTTCTATTCAACCTTCTCTACGATTTATGATATGATTACGATTTTCAAAACATTGCTTTCATGGACATTTGACATTATTTTTCAATTCCAATGATTCTAAAATTAATGGTTTTCCAAGACTGGATCAATTTGAACTGTATATTATACAATACAAGATCTATTGGTCTAGTCTAAACAAAGTTCTGAAACTCAGGAATTTAGTTTCAATTTTAACCAGGACAAAAAATTGATGTTGAAATTGGGATTTAAAATAATCTTTATTTACATTGAATTCAATGGTTACCCGATATACTCCAAGGGAACTATATTTTTTCCTGTTATACGTTCTAGTAGTTTTTTATGTTCTAATTTCACTAATAATAAATTGTCGTGCAGCCTTCATGGCCTGATACGGGGTGAAAATATGGAGCTTGGGCGTGATTCTGATACTGGTGGTCAGGTGGCTTTTGGTCATAAAATGCATTCTTCTTTTAAGTCCTCTATGTGTTTTTCTATGAGTAATTCTTCTATACTTCCATTGCTTAGTGGGATGGCTAAATACTCTTCTACTTTATTAGGTTAAATATGTTGTGGAACTTGCAAGGGCCTTAGGCTCAATGCCAGGAGTGTACCGGGTTGATTTGCTGACCAGACAAGTGTCAGCACCAGAAGTAGATTGGAGTTATGGTGAACCAACTGAAATGCTGACTCCAACAAACTCTGATAGTTTCATGAATGAGATGGGAGAAAGCAGCGGTGCTTATATTATTCGCATACCATTTGGGCCAAGAAATAAGTATATCTCAAAGGAACTCCTGTGGCCTCACATACCTGAATTTGTTGACGGTGCACTAAACCATATAATACAGATGTCCAAAGTTCTTGGGGAGCAAATTGGTGGTGGACAGCCAGTATGGCCAGTTTCCATCCATGGACATTATGCAGATGCAGGTGATTCTGCTGCTTTACTATCTGGGGCTTTGAATGTACCAATGCTTTTTACTGGCCATTCACTTGGGCGAGATAAGTTAGAGCAACTTTTGAAACAAGGGCGCCAATCAAGAGAAGAAATAAACGCAACTTATAAAATAATGCGTCGTATAGAGGCTGAAGAGCTATCACTCGATGCCTCTGAAATAGTTATCACTAGCACTAGACAGGAGATAGAGGAGCAATGGCGTTTGTATGATGGTTTTGATCCAGTACTTGAGCGCAAATTGCGAGCAAGGATCAAGCGAAATGTGAGCTGTTATGGCAGGTTCATGCCTCGCATGGTTGTAAGTAATCAGACCCATGTCCTCTTAAATTCTTTATGTTCAGAGGCTGCTTATACAGTCTCATGAACTTCTTGTTAATTTAAGATATTTTTTTTTCATTTAAGCATTTTTAATATTATTTACAGATAATTCCTCCTGGGATGGAGTTCCATCACATTATTCCACATGATGGTGAAATAGATGGTGAAGTGGAAGGAAATGAAGACAATCCAGCTTCTCCAGATCCGCCAATTTGGTCTGAGGTTCAATTATTCCTTATTAAACTTATATTCCATTACTTATGACCTGTAATAATTTTTGGACTAAAATTAATATGTGAAGCTGCTGCTTCAGAATAGCTGTTCCAATTTGTTTTCTGCTGTAGAATGTGCCTGAAAAACTTCATTTTCCATTTAATTTTGCTGGTGTGCTTTTGCTGTTATTTGTGACTTCCATGTTCTTATATTTGGCAGATAATGCGCTTCTTTACCAACCCACGCAAACCTATGATACTTGCCCTTGCTAGGCCAGATCCCAAGAAGAACATTACAACTTTGGTCAAAGCATTTGGAGAATGTCGCCCATTAAGGGAGCTTGCTAACCTTGTATGTTTTAATTTTTTTTTTGGTAGAAAGTATGTCTTTAATCTTTCCCCATTCTTTTAACTTTGTTAGTAGGTCATATTCCACTTCCTTAAAGCTGTTTGAACTTTGAAGGCTGTATGAGATGAAATAGTTTCATTTCACATTTTCTTTTGTATTTCAGAGAAATCATCTAAAATGGAGAAATTCTTGGATTTTAAATAAAATATTAGAACGGGAATGTTTCAGGTTTCCTGAAAACGAACTCATTTCTCAAATTTTCCTAATAAGTAGATGTGGATTAATTTTAAGTGATGAGGGATGTAAGTTCAAATTGATATTGCTATAGCATCCAAAACAGAGTACTTGTGAATGGATCTTGATGACTTACAATGAGCTAAAATGTCAGGCACAAATGCATCTGTTCTTTCGATACTTAAACTGATTGACTTAAAATGGATCTTGATGACTTCAATTCATCTCAGTTCCTTATCTTGCTTGTAAAATGTTCTCATATTTTCTGTTTTTGCAGACACTGATAATGGGTAATAGAGATGCAATTGATGAAATGTCAGGCACAAATGCATCTGTTCTTCTTTCGATACTTAAACTGATTGACAAATACGATCTCTATGGTCAAGTGGCATATCCTAAACACCACAAACAATCTGATGTTCCTGACATTTACCGTTTGGCAGCAAAGACAAAGGTATTCCATATGGTTTCTACAATAGTTGAAGTTACACTTGACCAGGATTTATCTTTGTAGTTGAAGTAGGAAAAGGAGTAAATTTTGCCACATTTTTTGATACATTGCAATGTTGCATATGAAGTTTGGACATATTTTATCTGCAGCTTAGTTTGTCTTGGGCCACACCAGGAAGCATTTATTACTTAACTAAAGCCTGGCCATGATGTGCAAAATTGATTTGGACACAGACTTTTTACTATCAATTATTTTTATAGCTTACATACAGTCAATACTCTCTCAAAGCTTATATTTATCAATACCTTATATTTCTTTGGCTTTCATATATATATATATATATATATATTGCTTCAACAAGGTAGGAAAAAGAATTAAGGCATAGCCATATAATTTGTTGGTTCATTTTCATCATTTCTACTTATTATATTGATTGAGCCTTTCAGGTAAATATTTTGCACAAAGCTCGTGCAAATGTGGTCTGTGTAGAATACTTCTGATCCCATTCTGTGCCACATTTTATATTATGTACAGAGATCATGTATTTCCAGTGTCATAGTCAAACTCTTAATTTATATATTTCCTTTTTATCACATAATTTTTAATATGAATCTTATGTTTTGAAAATTTGTTTTATATTTATTTTATGTTTATAACTTTTTCTACCCAAATGAAATTATCTGTTCACTTAACTTACATATATCTTAGTTTATTTATACATGCATAAACTAATTTATTTGTAATTTCTCTATGTATTTTTTGATATATATATATGTATATATATAAGCATATTCTTTTTTAATATGATTCCCATGTTTTTGAAGATTTATTTAGTATTCTTTTACATTTATAACCTTCTCTACCTAAATCAAACAGGTTGTTTATTTAATTTATATATTCTAGTTTGTTATTAATATAAACTAACTTAAAATATTTTTAAATTAATTTTTCATTGTATGCAAATTCTTTGTTGATGCAAATGTCTTGCGAGTGTGGTAAGAAAGTGATTGTTAAATTTGTCTAATTCTTAATTGTATTGATAATTTCTATTTATTTATTTATTTTTTTATTGATACAAGAATAAATTATCATTTTTTTTATTTTAAGATTGGTGGTTTCTATTACCATGTCTTATGGTTGAATATACGAGTAGAGATGCCATCATTACACGTGGTAGAGTGAGATGTGGAGTAGCACATCAAAACTCTTTTATTTGGTAATTACCAATTAGGAAAGAAGTAAAGAGATATTTTTGGATTAAAAAAAGATATTAAGAGAGATTCTTAGGTGTACATTGCTTATTTTATTGGTGACTAACTTAATAATCAAATATCTTTCAGTTTGAAACTTATTATATAATTTATTCTTTTCTTTTTTCATTTTAATAGACTAGTTACATGAGTTTGTGCCTCACCAATTTTGAGGAATAAGGCAGTGAGGCACATAGCTCACTAAACTTGAGGCTCAAGCCTTCGACTTACTATACAAGGTGGTTGAGGCTAGGCATTTTGTGTCAGGGCCTTTTGAAATCATGCTTGAAACAATTTTCCTGCCAGGTGGTTATCAAGTGATTTCATCTCTCTCTCTCTCTCTTTCTCTCTCTTATATATGTGTGCAAAATAATTTTCTTTTTCATGAGGATCCAAATACTCTATTCATTTATCTTACGCTCATATGTTTACCAATCTGTTACTTGTATATTAGTAGTTCTGTTCAAATTTTTTCTCAAAAATAAGTTTTCTATTAGGTCCATATTGTTTTGTTCATCAGCATCAAATCCTTGTTTCCATCATCAGAAAGTTATTCAGAAGTTTTAATAATACTAATATAGAGAGGATCTTATTCATGAGGGTGGGCCTTGGTGCAACAGTTGTGTTGCTCCATTGTGAGCTGGGTGACTAGGGTTCAAATCAATGTTTCGAACTACCGTTGACCTGGACGGACCGTTAGGCTCAGGAACTGTCCAGGCAACCAGTTCCGTTTTACCCCAAAACCGGTCCCTGGCCAAAAACCGTTGAATTGGTCAATGACCCATTGACCCGGGTGGTCGAACCATTGACCCATTCAAGGGTTTTTGGCCTTTTTTATTTAAATTATTTTATTTTTTGTCAGAACAGGCCGTCCATTTGAACTGTCGACCCAGAAACCAGTGCCCAGAACGGTTCCGGTTCCAGGTCGGTTTTTAAAACCTTGGTTCAAATCTTGGAAATGGTCTCTCTGCATGTCCAGGGGTAAAGCTGTGTAAATCTGTCCCTCCCTAGACCCTGCATTAGCAGGAGCCTCATGCACTGGGCTGCCCTTTTACTACCTTATTCATAAAATATTTTTGAATGATTTATATCTTCAATTTTTAGTGGCTATAATAGAGAAGGAAATAGTCTACTAAAAAATTGAGCTTGGGTTTGGTTCAAAGCTTCTTTCTTATCCATGCTTGTTTTTTTCTAGGAAGTCAACAGCATGAATGAGCTGGCCTAGCTCATTTTTTTCCCCTTTTTGCCCAGTCTGTTAGAATTTATCTTTTTTGCCACATTAAAGAGAAGACTTTGCAACGAGTAATGAGCTATATGATTTCTATACCAAATATTTCAGTGGCAGAGAACAACTAATATTGACAACAAATATTAAGCTAGGACAACATAGTAGCTTAATGGCTATATTATCTTATTATCTGAGAAAATAAAGTTTAATGAGCTGAAAAAGGTAATGAAACTGCGAGTAGACTAAACTCTGGAAAATGAAAGAGTTAAGAGAAACATTTGCAAAAAAAAAGACCTTTCTGGGAATTGGTAATTGTTTTCTCTCACTGTAGAACTTTTTGCGAACTTCCAAGAATTTTGTCAATGCAAAGAGGCCTGAGATCATGGTTTACCTTTTATGCTTCAATTCTTGTCATGCTTTGTTATTTGCCAAAAAAATTTACCAAAAAAAATTACAGTTGGTTATTTGCCAAAAAAGTTTACCTTCCAAGCATTTTGTCAATCCAAGGTAACCTATGTTATTTGCCAAAAAAATTTACAGTTGGATGTGGTATTCCCTTTTGCATCTTGTTCCTTTTCCCATTATTGTTAGAGCTTGAACTATGACTTGTACTTCTGCAGGGTGTTTTCATCAATCCAGCATTTATTGAGCCCTTTGGTCTAACTTTAATAGAGGTACTGGGCTTTGAATTTCCCACAAAGAACTGAACTTTCACAAATTAGTTACTATAGAAACTAATATATGCTCTACTTCGTCACTGAGCAGGCTGCAGCTCATGGTTTGCCCATTGTAGCCACAAAAAATGGAGGTCCTGTTGATATACATCGTGTATGGTTTGCCATTGTTTCTGTCCTATTATTTTAGAAGATCTTTTTTGCCCATTTGTTATACCCAGATTGAGATATTATAGTTTCTCAAAACTAATAATTAAATTGTTGCAGGTTCTTGACAATGGCCTCCTTGTTGATCCCCATGATCAGCAGTCTATTGCTAGTGCTCTTCTGAAGCTTGTAGCAGATAAACAGCTTTGGGCAAGATGTCGACAGAATGGTTTAAAAAATATTCACCTTTTCTCATGGCCAGAGCATTGTAAGACTTACTTAACTAGGATAGCTGGTTGCAGGCCAAGGCATCCACAATTTCAAAGAAGTGATGGTTGGTTGGAAGAATCAGAATCAGATTCACCTAGTGACTCCTTGAAGGATATACAGGATATATCTTTAAATTTAAAGCTATCTCTGGATGGTGAAAAAAACGAAGAGAGTGGTACCGTTGATAATGCTTTAGATTCTGAAGAAAATGCTGCTGATAGAAAGAGTAAGTTAGAGAATGCTTTGTTGGCATGGTCAAAGGGTGTTCTAAGAGACACACACAAAGGGACCGCTGAGAAAGCAGACCAGCATACAGGTGCTGGTAAATTTCCAGCATTGAGGAGGAGGAAACATGTTTTTGTCATTGCTGTGGATGTTGCTACATCTGAAAATCTTCATGAAAGCATTCAGATGGTTTTTGAGGCTGCAGGAAAAGAAAAGAGTTCAGGGTCTATAGGGTTTATATTGTCAACAGCATTAACCATATCTGAGATACACTCCCTTCTGGTTAATGGAGGCCTAAATACTTCTGATTTTGATGCTTTTATATGTAATAGCGGTAGTGACATCTACTATCCATCTTTGAACACTGAGGATAGTTATTCAGAGCTACCCTTTTTGAGTGACTCAGATTATCATTCACACATTGAATACCGTTGGGGAGGAGAAGGATTGAGAAAAACTTTGGTTCGTTGGGCTGCTTCCATTGTTGATAAAAAGGGAGGAAGTGAAGAACAAATAGTTATTCAAGATGAAGAACGTTCAACTGCATACTGCTATGCATTTAAAGTGAAAAACCCTGCACTGGTAGATTTACTTTACCTTCTAACATGAAATTTCTTTTTTCTATGAAGAAATTGTGAAATTTTTGTCAATTTTCAAAAATATGGTCATTTTATAAAAATATTTGGAGTAGTTTTCGAAATGTTTTCTTCACATATATTTACTGTATATTCTAGTGTACAACCCTCTAAAACCACCAAAAAGTTTTCATCAAGAGGATGATATTCATTAATGAAAAACAATAAATTACTTAATGTTTTAACTTGTCTTTACAGGTTCCTCCTGTTAAGGAGCTAAGGAAGTTTATGAGAATTCAGGCTCTCCGTTGTCATGTCATATATTGCCAAAATGGTAATAACCTGCATGTAATTCCTCTACTGGCCTCTCGGGCCCAAGCCCTTAGGTATATATATTTTTTATCCTTATTTCCAGTCATAAAATTCTTTTTTTTTTCTTTTTGCATCTTCCTTTTGTGTTAAGGATAAAAATTTGTTGATAAATGTAACTATATAAACTTCAGTTATTTTTGTGCCTTGTGGGTCCCTAGATTGGAAGAAACTCCACCTAATCACTTTGACTTGTGCAAAGGCTGAGAATCCTTGTTCAATCTTGAATTTGGTGGATAGAAACTACAATTTTGTGCTGGTCCATCACCTTAGATAATTCTGGTTTGTTAAACCTTTTATAGAGATCCTTGTGTTCCCATTGTTTTTGGTAGGTGCATGGCCAAATACTATTTAATTTTGTCTTCAGATGGATATGGTTACTTGACCATAAGAAATCTCAACTTTCAGTTGTTGAATGTGGTTTTGGCCCCATAGAGGCAAGGTGCCACTTGCTAGACCTGAAGTTAGCAGGTTAGTGGGGTTAGAGTATCAGGGATGCACGTGGGGTCCACTGTCTTGCACAGAGAGCCTGCCTTTCTGTGGGTTTTAAAATGCCTTCTCCAACAGAGGGATGCCAACTTACCGTGTAAGAGTGAGATGGAAATTACTACCCGACTCAAGATTGGGTCAGAGTAAAAGGTTTATATCATGAACAAGCTCCATCCAAGCCTGACTGAACCATAAAGAAGTTGAACCTGGCTTTCTGTTAAGTAATTTGGGTATGGGTTGAGTATTTATTAATTGGTTTTTCAATGTTAAGTTATTAGAGTTGAGCTTGGTTTGATGCAATGTCTTAAGGCAAGAAATGCAACTGAAGCACCAGGGGTTCCCAGAGCCTGAGGAATGAGGCACAAACCTAAAAGAAGTGAGCTGTCACTTTTGAAGAAATTAAAAGAAACTTGATTTATAAGAATATGAAAATCTAAATTTTGAAAGAAATAAAATATTTCAAAGGCCTTTTAGCTCAATTGGTTAGAATACTATTAAGAAGGTTGTAGCCTTGTGTTTTCAAATCCTATGTAGGTTATAACTGTTTAAATTCTAAACATCACCACTACAACATATAATATACTAAATCATTTATTCAAACATTAAATTCAAGGTTAACTCATTAAAATATAATAAGCGAGGTGAGGTGCACTTGGATTCTAGTTAGGCACGAGACCGGATTTGCTCCTCACACGCACATCCTACCATGCATTGGGAACATCTCCCGTACTTATTAGTCATTATTCACGGGAGATGTTCCCAATGCACGGTGGATCTGCGTGTGAGGCGCCCATTTGTAAGGAGCAGATCCCGTCTCGTTAGTCACACCATATAAAATACGCCTCACTTGTGAGCTATAGCAGTGTTGCATGGACTCTTCTAAGTGGATGAAGAGTTTTTGTTGGACATGCATCAGATTCTAGCACTCCAGGGACTCTGGATGGACACTCCAGCATAACATTTTCCTTTATCTACTCATTTATTTGACATAACTGAATATCTAATATACAGTATTCACAATTAATGCATTTTTTTTTTCTAGAAATCATCAAGTAACAAAGATAAAGTCCTAGACCTTTTTTAGAGGTAAGCTATGTTAGAATTCAAAAAAATATGGACTGCTTTAATAGTTTATACTTTCCTATAGAATTGTTTGTTGGTCCTTATTTTCTTTCTTGCCAAATCAAACTCATGGACACGCATCAGATTCTGATTCTCATGCCTGTGTCATGTTAGCCTGGAGCCTAGCCATACCTTAGGTACACCTTTAAAACACATTGGTGCCATAGCCCATATAAGCCGGCTTCTCATGGGTTGCACTGTTGTTGTTGAGGTATAGATCAATCCTCCCAACTACAGTTGTCTTTGATACTTGATACATGGTTTTGATACCTATTCTAGTTAGGTTGGGTTTAGTTGCAGATTTTAAAATCTTCTCATTACGCATTTTATGGTATTTCATGGCCTAATCACCTCCTTTTTTTCAAGGTACCTGTATGTTCGGTGGGGTATTGAGTTATCAAATATGGTGGTCTTTACTGGAGAATACGGGGATACGGATTATGAAGGAATGCTAGGCGGAGTCCACAAGACAGTAATATTGAAGGGGATTTGCAGCAATGCCCGTGACCAGCTGCACGCAAACAGAAGCTACCCACTAGAACATGTCTTGCCATTTGACAGCCCTAATATTGTTCAAGTTACCGAAGGGTGCAGCAGCAATGACTTGCGAATGTCTCTGGTGAAATTAGGGGTTCTCAAAGGCTAGAATTGTAGATAATCCTCCATTGGCTTTTCTGTATTTAGGGTGAACAAGCTCCAGCACTCCTCTTAGCTTCCGTTTGTCTTATATCTACTTTTGCTCCCTGATAGCCTTAAAACCCAACAGCTCTGTAAAAACTCAAAAGTACCATTTCCTTCCTACCCTGGGATATGTGCTCCCAAGCTTGAACTTGTGGGTTTCCTTATGAAACACTAAATAAGGTTTTTCCCCCCTTTTTTTGTTGTTTTTATTTTTACCAGAAGCCTTTCAGAATGTCCACCTACTGGGTTGCTTTTGCGAATTAAAGCAGACTGAGCAATTGCAATCTGTTGTGCTTTTGGCTCATCCCTTCTCATAAGCGATCTCATGGTAGAAGCTGATGGAAGCCAATGATATCTCAATTTATTACTATTAGATGCTTGGCTCTTTTTGTAATCAAAGAAAATTGTGCTAATGGTGTATAAAGGTGGCTTGAATCCACTACTCTGTATTCAACTTGTGTTTATTATCTGTTCAGTTGTACAAAGTGGAATTTGAATATAGGTAAAGCGCGAAATTCCTAAGCATCACTGTAGCCTCTAGGAATGTTTCTATTCATTTGTCTTGTGTTAATAAAGCCGCCCGGCTAATGCACATGCATACATGATTTCTTAGAAAAGCTGCATGGGCACTGCAGATGCAGAAGAGTCCGGCTTCCGTCCAGGCAGCTTCTGTCAGAGCATTATTTGTGCAAAAGGAGGACGTGCCACGCGTTCACGACTTTGTGTAAAATGTTTGAAGCATGCGGGGGAGTTTAACGAGTTTAACACCGTTAGCATGCAAACAAAATCCACTTTTTCGAATATGATCCTCCCCCTCTTCTCTCCTCTCCTTTCGTGCGAGTGTCGCAGGTTTTCTTCTCCCTCTCTACAACTATCATCACCGGATATCGGCAACCGGCAATCATTTTACACGTGTCCTCCACTCTGTTCAATTTGTAAACAAGAGATTCTCTCTCTCTCTCTCTCAGTTTCCTTGTTAAAATTACAAACTGCTTCTCTTCTTACTACTCTGTTCTAGTTGTCCGATTAAATCCTGGTTTTCTTCTGTGTTTCTGTTATCTCAAATGGATCTAGTTCCATGTCTTCTCGATGAGATTGCCCGTGAATTTCATCGCACCGCTCGGTCGATGGGACCCGACGCACTGCAGCATAATCTCACTTGGCATTTCCAAGTCGATTTAGGATTTCCATACCTATTTAGGCTCCATTTCTGCGAGTTGGTGCCTGAGATAACAAGGGTGTATCATAGGGTTTTTAACATCTTTATTGGTAATCAGACGGCTGGCAAAATGTTTGATGTTGTTGGCTCGAGTGGAGGAAATGGGATCCCGATGTTCAGAGATTACACTTACCTTTTGACGCTTCTAGATCCAAAACAAATTGAGGGCAAGCAAGATCTTTGGCTAACCATACACCCGAACGTCGAAGCAAAGCTAGAGTTTTATAATGCAATCTTAAACAGGCTTGAGATCTTCAAATTGATGAAAGATACCAGGGGCAATTTCGTAGGGCCAAATTTAGAGAGCGCGTCCACGCGACCTGATCACCACCACTTGAAGAAATGGATTTGGTTCATTGTCGCTGGAGGCGTTGTGGTGCGGTCTCGCTTTGTTTTCCCACGCTACCTCTTCCATCTGATATCGGCTGTGGCCGCTTCTCGTTAGCTGAGATAAAGGCAGCTACGGACAACTTCAACGAGACACGACTGACCGGCGTCGGTGGCTTCGGTAGCGTCTACAGAGGCTACATCATTGACAATGCCAATGGAGTCGCCAGCACTACCATTGCAATCAAACGTGGGAATCCAAAGTCTCAACAGGGTGCGGTCTAAAGCGGTGTTCGTTTTCGATTTCATGTCCGGCAGATGGCACCGTGGGGCCGATATGCCAGGGGGTCTCGATTGTTCTTCGCCTGTGCGTCAGATTCTGATAGGAAGGTTTTCGTAGTTAGCAGGCATGATGATGAGAAGAACGCACTGAAGTCTGCAATGTCTTTTACGATCAGACAAAGGACGAGTGGGCCCCGCTTCTCGATATGGAGAGGCTCCGCCGCCGGTGACGGTTGTTTGTCATCACTGGGTGAATGGGGAAGAGAGAGGGAGAAGTGAAGACACTCGAACGAAAGGAGAGGAGAGAAGAGGTGCTGCCCATGGGCTAGCATGACCCGACATGACATGGGCCCATAGGCCCCATACCACACAACATGACATGAAAATGTGGGTTGTGCTGGGAAGACCCACGACCCATTGGGGATGCCCCTCGTCTATTACTCTTTTTATTATTTTTTTTTGTGGGGTTGGGGATGCGCATGATAATTAGTTTGGAGAGTATCTTGCTAAAGTGATAAATAACTTTTTAAAAGACCAGCATACCTCCCTCAATAATTAGAAATAATTAATTTTTAAGGATATTTGGTTAATTGAATTAATTATAATTCATATAAATACCTCCTTCTTTGTTCTCATCACACTAATTCTCTTATCTCTAGTTGCTAATTCTCAATTTTATTCAAGTTTCAATAAGAAGGCTTACCCAAGTGTCTCAAATTAGTAATTTGGGAGGCTTAGTAGGGCTGCAAATAACTCGATCAGATGCGATTTGAATATGATATTGATCTGTTAAGAGGCGGATTTGTATATCCCTCTTGATCCTAACAAATCGGATCGGATCAGAAAAGTCAATCCATTAACTTAACAGATCGAATTTGGATATTGGTTGATCTGATCCATTGTGACCCGATCTGATATGTTAATTATGAAATATTATATATTATATAGTATTTAGATATTATATATGTATATTCTATATATTATTATATATTATATATTTTATATGTTAATATATTATTATATTATATACATAATATAAATATAATTCTAATCAAATCAGATATCCAATAATACATTCGAATTCGAATTCAAATCATGTTTTTGAAAATCCGACGGATCCTTATCGGATTCAAATCAATCGGATTTTCTTAACATATCAGATCGGATATGCTCTTACCAAATTCAATCCGATCCGTTTGCAGCCCTAAGGTTTAGAAGCTTCATCAGTTGAAATCAAGTTTAAATTCCAAAACAATGGACCAGGTAAGTTGTAATTAATTTTTTTTAGTGTTTTAATATTTCAAAATTTTTAAAATGATTGATTCCTTTCAAAATCCCTTTCTCTACAACTTCGGGTTTGATCATGTTCAATCATAGTATGATAGCACCACTCTTAAGGTTTTCAAAATATAATTTTTTTCTATTAAATTTGATAATGCTAGTAATAATTATTCAACTGTAAATATTTTAAAATCTCAATTAAGAACATGCTTAAATGATAAATTATTTCATGTTAGATGTGCATACCACATTTTAAATTTATTTGTACAAGATGCTTTAAATTTTACTTTGTATCATGTTTCTAAAATTAAAAATTGTATTATGTATACTAGAAGTTTTGGAACAAAAAAAATGAGAAATTAATTTAAATATTTATGTCAACAAAATAGGCTAAAATATAAAAAATTGTATTAGATGTTCAACAAAGGTGGAAGTTACAATTTGTATAAAATATTTTTACAATTTGTATAAAATATTTTTATAATAAGAAAATGCGCCATGATTTTATGCTTGATGATGATTGGGAAGTTACAATTTGTATAAAATATTTTTACAACCTTTTTGTGATACAACTAATGCATTTTCAAGTATTTATTACTCAACATCTTGTATTTTAGCTAACTAATTGTTTATAATTAGTGAATGCTTTTAATAATATAGAAATTATTTAAAATTTAAAAATATTATTGATACAAAGGAAATTAAATTTAAAAGATATTGAAAAAATATTTCTCCTTTATATTGATTAATTGAAATATTAGATCCTAGGATTAGAAAAGATGGTGTAGATGTTTTATTTGAATATTATTATTGAAAATGTGGGAATTGATATTAGAACAAAAAATGAAGTTAAAAATTTATTATTTGAAATGTATAATATATGAATCACAAATATCAGGACATAGGAGAACTTGTACAACTTCCACTAATGGAATCACTAGTTATAGTAGTGAAAGGGATAGAGTTTGCACATTAATAAATAAAATGCAACAATCGATTGCCCCTTCATCATCAAGTTCATTTACTGAACTTTATTTTTATTTAAAAGCTAATTTTAGTAATTTAACAAATTCCCTCAACCCCGAGGAATTAAATAACTTTGATATTTTAGCTTTGTGGAAAAGTATGAAAAAAAAATTATCTAGCATTTTGCCACTATAACACACCATTTACTAACCCCTCTGGTGTCCATAATTCCATCCAAGTCTGGATGACAAGAGAAGTTGCATAAATGAAGAATGCTTGGAGATGTACATATGTTTTAAAGGATTGGTTTCATGCTTAAGACATACTACGAGATTAATTAGAGAGGGCATGGTACTTCAATTGATGGTTCACTAGATGTTGATGATGCAAATCAAGATTAGGGAGATGGAGGAGGTGGAACTTGAAGTTGAAGAAGTCAATCTTTTTTGTATACTCAATAATTGTATAATATTATATATTTTTTAATTTTATTTAAAAGTAATTTGTGATTTTTTCAATGCCCGTTTAAATTTTTATTTTCAATTTTATTATATTATTTATTCCAATTCCATTATATTTTTTCAATTTATTTTTTACTTCATATACGATCAATCGTATGCATGAAATTCAAATGAATTAAAATTTTTGGGATGTTCTTTTAAATTTGATGTTTATTTTGTATTTTGTTAAGTCAAATAAGTGTTTTTTTTTTGTTAATTTTTTATGCCACACTTCCCCTTTGAGGGGTTCCAGGCTAAGTAGGCATAGCCCCCGCCTAGGCCTGCGAGGAGGCATGGGTTTTTTTTGGTATCGTTTGAAAGGGATATACAACGGGAGGTAACCCATCCCCAACCCATAATCCCCCAACCCAGGTGTAGGCGGGATTTGATCCCAAGTCTCCACTACGACCAGCAGGAAACGATACCAACCAACTGGCTGGCACATTGTGAGGAGGCGTGGGTTTAGCCTATAATCAATGTGATTGTGTTTGTTTTCAAATTTTTCCATTGATTTCTGAAAGTGACACATCAAGAACATGAAAATTTGCTTTAGCCAGAAAAAAATCCCGAAGTTGCCATGTGATCAGGTCTGCCGACGAAAGAAAGGCAATTTATATATCTTATACTTTGGGCACAATGACATTTGAGGGCCTAAACTTTCAACTATTATAGTTTAGTATCCTAAACTTTCAGAAATATACATTTATGTCCAATTTTGTTAAAACTGACGTTGAATGAAATTATAAAAATGCCTGTATTCAAACTCTCTTTTCATTTTCATCTACCTTCAAATTCAAATGGTGGCAGCAAAAAATTATGATGGGCAATGCATCTGTATTGGTACAAAAACCAACATGTAAGAATTACTAAATATCCATCTATCCTCATTGTTTGGAGGCTTCACTAGAGAACTCAAATGTTCTCGCTTGTTTTCAGATGCTTCTATTTAG